GAGAGTTAAACAATGGCGACTTGATCGCTTACGAGCTGCCAAACAGTTTATTTTAATGTTTAAAAACATATTAAAACAGTGACCCTAACAAGTATTTTCCATTTAATCATTACGCTGTCATAATAATACTTGTCTATTCGCTTTTTACGACTGACTTCAACGTAAAGTGCAAACGTCTATCGCTCTAGCAGTAGTTGTTCTTGATGAGTAACTAATTAAACACTATTACAATTACAGTGTAAGAGTGCCTTTTCATTAAATAGTATACTCAATATAAGCGGTGAGATGTTCCTTTTGAAAGGGGTTTTCTATAGTGAGTACTTGGAGGTAGCCGACTTTGTYGTTAGTGAAAAATAGTGAGTTGTTCGCTTTACGGAGCTTAGGGTGGTCGCCGTTTACAAGATGGTCGCAAAATTAAGCATGATGGTCGTAATGGGAGGTTGCTGTCACGTAATTAATTTTTGTGTTGGTCGATTTATCTTTCTTGTTAAGGGAGGTGGTTGCCGTTAGCCAGATGGTCTCAAATTTTAAAGTGTGACGGTCGTTGATAGAAGGCTGCATTTGCAGTAGCCTTTTCTACGCAGGCTACATTTGCAGTCGACTCGGTGTTGGTCGGTTCAARGGGAAGGCCTTGTTGATTGGGCAGGTGGTCACTTTAGGAAGTCAGWGATGCGAGCTCGTGTTACGATATTCATCACGGACACCTGCCAAGAGCTGCGTCCGGCTTTCAAACCATCATCAATCAACACCTTCCTTTGTTCAACATTCAAATCCTAAACTCAATAGAGGACTTCCTTCTGACCCTCACCACATTAACCAAAACGAAACAAATACAATGGAAATAACGAAATCGAATACTAGAATAGAAAGTTCCCGATCGCAGTTCTTCTTTCTTTTGTTGTTCGCTGGAACTGAATAAATTTAATGCCAATTATAATGACATATCAGGAAATATAGATTTACTGATGTGTCGGGACAGGGTTTTAAGAGGTGAAGGTGATTATACAGACTGCAAGGGCTTTGCCTCTTCCTATAGTAGCCGATCATAGTCAGTACCATAGTTTTGTGTCCTTGTTGAACTCAAATGATTTCCCCTTTCTTACAGAGGGTTGTTTCGGGATCCTTTCACCATCCCCAATCGCGGTTTCTCCCTTAGTCAAGCTTAGTATTTTTCATGTAACATAATCCAGTCATACCCGGTGGGTATGWGGTCCATCATTGCATCCAGTTGAAAGAAAAAACTTAACATAAGAATCGTCGTTGTTTTGTGAGCAATACTTGATGTGGTTGTTATAAACCTGTACGTCGTTCCGTGAACAAAATGGGATTTGGTATGACTATATTTACGTTATTCACGTTAGAGTATTCTCCACATAACGATCATAGCCTGAGTTCTTAGACTGTTTTACTATCTATAGGGTCAGCAAGGTTGCTCTACATGACGGATCGGCACGTAAAATAGTCAGTACTGTTAATCTACTCAAAGAAAAGTCAAATGACTGTCATGCCATATTTAAAAACATCTTTCTACTGAGAAAAAGGGATTTTTTAAAAACCTCATCAACCTATTGACAGAACTTGTCAGCCCTTTGTCTTGAAAAAACTGGTACTTTTTGAGTAAAAAATGATTTTTTTTCAGACAGTGAAATTTGGCCAATGATTGCTTTTCGGTATGTTGTTGAGCTAGTTTTTGAACATGTTTGCCATACATTGTCTCAATGTTTACGCAATAAAATCCACCTCACTTTCTTGTTTATTGTAGGATTACATGTATGTCAGACATAGACGCCATAATTATTTTGTTTTAGCGAATTAAAACCCTACAGGTTGCTTGCTTTAGTCACACGATCTACAGACCACCCGTCCYCCTCAATAATCACGCAAACAAAGAGTCACTCCAGCTGCTATGGCTCAGCCAATCAGATCGCGCTTTAACGTGTCTCACGCTTAAGTAGGTTTGCATGTAAATCAATCATCAAAACTGAAACTGCCATAGGACACCGAATATCTTGGAATATTCTTGTGGTGGAAGAGCGAATTTAATGAATTGATTTTCTGTCTGAGTGACTCTCATACCAAGTCTAGCGTAAAGAGAATAGAGAAAGATATTTTATCGGAATCATTTGTGCTCTGAGAACTTGAAACTCCGCGAAAGACAGTCTTTGYTAGGGTTTCTGTAAGGACTCGTCACCTAACCACGAATTGAACTCTTCTTCAATCTATTGAGGTTTGTGTTTCATTGTATGGTCTTTTTGATCTTTCTTTAGCGATACAACTCGTATTTCGAAATTCTTGGGAACAATACTGCTGTTTTGTGTTCAGATTGGAAAATATTGGCGAGAAAACACAAACCAAACGAAGAAGACGCTGAATAAACACCGAAAGTGACTGTATTTACGTGTGAATCTTCGGGATCTTTATTCACGTTACCGAAGGATGTGACTCGCTTCATTTTCTCCTAGAAAAACGAATTTATTTTTTGCCGTGATATATATTAAAATGTCGGCGGTGTTTCATCACGCCGTAGTTGAAGGAGATGTGACTAAAGTACGTTTCCTTCTCAAGTACAGCCCGGGATTACGAATAAACAGTACGAATAATTATGGCCTTACAGCTCTGCAACATGCAGCACAAAATGGAAATGTTGACATGGTGAACTTTCTACTCGAACGAGGAGCTGATTTGAGTTGTGTTGATCAGTTTGGCCGTACAGCGCTTCATTTGGCTTCACAAGAAGGTCACCTTGGTGTTGTTAGTTTATTAGTCACTTCAGCTTGTGCGAATGTGAACGCGAAAACAGAACGAGGTGAGAAAGCAATCGACTTGGCCAAGTCAGACCAAGTTCGCGCGCTTCTTTCTCAGGCTATGTTGACGGAGAGTTTCAAGAGGAAGTGCTCTCTTGAATCGGATGATTTGGAATCGAGTTATAGTCCTGATGGATTCAGGAATACCCCAGGATGTCGGCACTCTTTATCGAGTGCTTCAACAGACTCTGGAGTCTACGATGAGTCATGCTCTTCTCAGGACAGTAATAGCGATCCTAAATACAGCTATCGCTATAGTCGCGGTGGCAGTTTGCGGGGATATCAATCATCGGCTTATTCTACGATCAGTGAAGATAGCGGTGTTAGTGGTTTGTCGTCCAATTTACGCAGTCGACATATATCAAGGTTAGAAGGAGGGACGAACCGCGCAAGAAGGGTAGATGGATCTCCCGTCACATCCATTCTAAAGAGTCAGTCGTTCTCTGGTAATCGCAATGGGGATCTGAATACGGAGGACCGAAGTCCAAGACAYGTACAGGATAGGATTGACAGTACAAGAGAAGATATGTACCGCTACAGAAGGCAAGAGAAACCATCGTATCTTAGAGATGCTAGCCGAAGAAGAACCGTCACCTTTGGAGAGACGGAAAAAGTATCGGTAGAACRAGATCGCCCAAGTACGTCCGTCACGTACCAGGGTTCTTATACTGCTCGAAACTTGCCACAAGTACCACCACGTATGTCGACTCACAGATCTTCGTGTACGAGCGAACAACCGCCTCCGGTTCCACCTCGAATACCCTTGAGAAATTCAGCTCGTTCATCAARCTTGAAGGCCCGGAGTACCTACGATAGCGAGGTGGTCTTTAGACCCCGGCCTTGCCCTCGAGTTCCGAGAGGTGAGATGGGGATAGTACATGGGAACACTAAAAACCGCATGAGTATGTTCGCTGATATTTCGACAAAAGGAATGCACTAAAATTGTACAAATCACATTGTATAGGGAAATCAGCTGTTTGTACATTAATTATTAATGTACAATTTTACCACAAAAGTATTTATAGAGATTTAGTCAAGACTTTTTCGAGTAACAAACATTACAACTTGTCAAAATACTATATATTTGTATATACAAAACATACTGATTTATATATTGGTCTTTCAATGCAAAATCTTATATTTATATTCATATAATCGAAGCGATTTATTGGTTGGTAGGCCACAAGTTTTGTATTGAAAGGCAGTCCTCAGCGGAAATAGCACTTTCCCAATGCTAAAATATGGTTGTGATTTTTACAGAATTTTTGCCCTTAATTTGTAATCTAAACTCAAAAACTTATATATATTTTACCCGAAATAGGAATGATGTAATATGAAAATCAATAAATATTTAGAATAATGTATTCAAATCTCGTAGAAAATACTTATTTGAAGGGAATAATGCTTAGCAACCGTATGGAGTTGTAAAGCTACATATCGCAAAACTTCAA